TTTTTCTTTGAGTTTTTTCCACAACTGGAATTACAGTGTAGATGTGATGAAGAAACACTTTTCATGAAAAGTTGAACAAATAGATTACATGTGTTCACACTTCTTTTCAGTAATAGATAAGGATGATATCAAAATGTGGTAATGACAAAAAAGTGGCACACTTCATTTTGTTGTCCTCTGAGATCTATTTCTCTCCAGACCCTTTGCAGCAAAGAATCTACTTGTTTTGTATAAGCAATTGAATGCATTTTTCTGGACTCTATAATATGGTAAAGCCATGTGGGAGGTGTTGCCAGTCGAAACGGAGCTAAAATTCTGTGGAAACCTGTTCTGCTAGGTAATACGTGTCTTTTGCAATTCCCTTGATTGGCTTTAAAATGGTTTAGTTTAACTTTGCTTATATTTATTATTATTTATGTTGGCCGAGTCTTCAGACTTTTATTTTTAACTACTGCTCACCCGGCTGAAATACTTTGTATATATATCAATACCGATCAAATTACCCCTGAAGATCAAAGCATGATCATTTAAAATTGATAGAGACTACCTGTCAGTTGTTCCGTTTGTTGTTAGTAGCTTTGCTAAAATTAGTGATTTACCTTATTTTCGTTATTTAATCGACCACGGTGATAACTAGACTCAGTTCTCCTATTTAAGTTCTCCTATCTAAATGTGGATGGAAAGTTTAAACTAATTTAGACCACCTACTTGGCTGCAGAGTTGGACAGCTACTCACCCCATTCCTGCACCTCCAAATTAAAGATGAATATTCTCGATCCCCTCCTAACAGGCTTATTGCATTAGGTTTAACAATCTTTAGTAGTAATTACCACTAAAGTTAAGCTTAACCTTTGAGCTCCCCTCAAAGATGACCTATAGATACCTATAGTACAGCTGTAATGTAAGTAAACTTTCTCTAAAACTGCTTCTTTGACTATTTCACAATTATTCCATGAGCATGCGTTGGATATGAGATGATAGATAGCCAACGAGGCGCGTAGCGCCAAGTTGGCTATAATCATCTCATAATTCTAACAAGCGCGAGTGGAATAATTGTTTTATTAAAAATGCCCCCAAGAAATTATTATTTTGTAAGAAGAAACCAGATTTTTTAGCTCCCTTTTGATTTTAAGCTTACGCATACGCTTACCATATTTGTAGATTATGGTATATTGGCTCATATACCATAATGGCTAAGCCAATAAAAAGTCTTGAATTGCATTATCCAATGATCCAGTTTTTAATAATANGAGCAGAATGCAAGTGATTTGTAAGCTCTTAGAGTTCAATATCACCTGATAAGGCACACACTTGGAAACTGAATTGACCAATCAGACCATGCATACTATATTCATTATGTCATATGATAAATTATAGAGCAAAATGTTGTTCACGTTGATGACATCTGTGGACTTTTCCTCCAATAGATTATAAGTACGAACCAATAAAAATCTTTAATTAGTTAGTGTAATTCAGTTTATCACAAGAACTGTTCTAAGGGAATATATTTTACTGGTACTTATTTTTAGATTTAAAAAGATCCAGACTTCACTATGGTATTGAAGGGACAGCTCCATCAGAGCATCCAATAAAGACACTGAATCCAATGCGTCTCTTAGCTGCGGCAGCCCATGTAAATCAAGATGTGTGTGTTCCATTAACACATAAGCTTTTTGCTGCATATTGGGTCCAAAACAAAGGTGGGTTGGTTAAGTTAACCCTTTTACTAAGTAACGACTCTCCACACAGTCTGCGCTATATTTCTTGACATTTAACCTTTGAGAATTTGGTGCATGATCAGACAATTTCTGTTGATTACATTAATTTTTTCCTCTTGTCACCTTTTGGATTCAAATTGTATCTACACTGCATAGAACAATTCCCATTTGGTATCTCCCGAGAGTGGAAGGGTAAGAATTCAGTCAATCCTTTAATTCCCATGAGTGGCTGAGACAGAATTTCTCCTTACAATATCAATACAATATCAAGCAGACAAGTGATGAGAATAAAGAAAACATTAAATAGGGGATTATCAGTTGATTCAATACCAAATTCTCTTAATAACTTAGAGTATAAGAATTATAGGGCAGACATTGTAAGAGAATTACTACCAAGATCTTGGGAGTGAAAAGGTTGGTGTATTATCTCATTTTCCAAAAGTGTTTTGAGAAAAGGGCTTCTCAGCCTTTATTTGACATTGAGGTGTTCAATGGTTAAATAAATACTAGAAAATCTCTTGAATTTTACATACTTTTTGCGTGTAACTATACAACTTTTTAATGTATTTTAGATGTACGAGAAAGTAGTGTCTTACAAGAAAGTGCTTCATCAGTTGGCTGGCAAGTTGACATTGATGAAATGATTGGAGGGATTGGGAAAGAGAAGCTTCTGCAGAATACCCAAGAGGCTTTGGAGAGAGGTTCCTTTGGTGTGCCCAGGTTTGAAGAAATATTGAAAGTATTATTCTTTAATTGAAAAGCTACCATCTAATAATTAAACAGAGTAGAATATGGTTTGAAAGTGTGATATTTTAAAGGGTAATATGTCAGCCAGTATAATCACAGATGAAGGTGATAAATTTGGTGAGAGCACTGGCTTCCCAATGCAATGTTCCATGATGGTTTCCTGGACTGTTTCATTACATGTGGGTTGAGTTTATAGTTGTTTCCAAGTCCTGCTCCTGAAGATTTTCTCCAAGTTTTCCTGTTTTAGCCCCTTCATCAAACAGGGAGCAACTGATTTATAATGGCTGAAATGACTCAGTAGTAAACAATAAAAGTTGTAGGGAATAACCGGGAGTCATATCCTGTGTTAATTTGAATATATCAA